AAAGATCCATTCAGACCTGATCAGAAGACACCCATAAAGAACTTCTTCCTTGCTGGATCTTATACCAAGCAGGTAACTTCTACCTTTCTTATTCCATCTTAGAAATGCTTGGTTATTCAACACTGATTGCATCCCTTCCCTCCGCCGACGTGTGGAAAAGAGAGCGGCCGAGTGTCTGAGGTTCCTGCATTGCTAGGAAGGGAGGTTGTTTCTTCAAATTGAATGATTTTTTTTTTCTAATAAAATGAAATAAGTATAATAAGAAGCCAATATGGAGGAAACAAGAAAATAAAAATAATTGGGACTATCTAAAGACTGTTTGTTGATAATCATAGCCTCCTAGATACATATATGAGGCCCATGTTAGTAAACCTTGATTTAATTACATGTTTGATTGATAAAGGTTAAGCATCAGCTCATTCCAGTAAAACAAAAACTTCTTGGTTGGGTGTGGGAGGTTACCTTAAAATGAAGACCCTGATTAGTTTTGTATTAACTCCCAAGACCATAGCTGACAGTAATTTAAACCTTGTAACTGAAGAAAAAATGGGATTGGTATAAATTTTCGATTGACCGCATACAGGACTATATAGATAGTATGGAAGGAGCAACTTTGTCCGGCAGACAAGCGTCAGCCTACATATGTAATGCCGGGGAAGACTTAGTGGCACTGCGGAAGAAGCTTGCTGCAGTTGGATCTCCGGAACAGATGGAAAGTTCAAGTGTTCCTGATGAGTTAAGTCTAGTATAATAGTTCATTTGTATAGTAATACGTGAACAACCTCAAATGGCTGATACTAGGTGGCCGACGAGGCTGGAATATGCTTGTTCAACATGTTTAACATTTAAGTTATAAGAAAATGAAAAAAATATAAAGCATTTTCCATTTATCCACTATATCTTCTCTTTAACAATGCACCCTTTACTTTTTTCAAGATACCTGTAATTCATACATTGGATCTTTGTGGCACAGCCCGCGACCCCTGCCTCCAATCCCTTTCTAGAGAAAGTAGTTCATTCACAATATCAAATCATAGCCGATAGTTGACAGATGGATATTAAGATGCAACCGGCACCAGGAAGCAAGCAACCCCGACCCAGTAGCAATAAAGAACAAGTAAATACAAAACTATAGTTCTAGTTCTAGATTCCACAGTTTGCATCCGCATCACAGAAAGATCTAGCAAATTCAATTTGTTCTTTTAGAAGCAGGGAAATTCAGTGTGGATCAACATTTTAACATTGCAAGGGTCATTGACTTGGTTTCAAAAACACCTTTATCCTACACAAGCCAACTTTCAAACCAATGGACCACTCTAAGACCTTCCTAGCTTGATCACCAATCTTTTTTTGCCATTTCCAAACATAAAACAGAGAACCAACACATAACAATTTAACAACCAAAACAGTATAATTATCATCCAATGCAGAACTAACATCATAAAACATCAAGTAATAGTAGTAACTTGAAACAAAAGTGGCAATCTTGATACATAAAACCATCAACTTTTATTATTCAAACACAAGCTCAGTTATCATACAACAACAAAAGCTACTCCTTTTACATAAATGATAAACCCTCAGCATCAAATACTAGAAAACACAAGACATAGATTGCATCCAAGATCCATCCATCGGTCAAAGATCACAAGGAGACTTTATTCTTCAAGCAGACCCTTTAGCCAGTTCCTTCTCAATAGCAATTTTAGCAGTGTCTAGATCCTCATCAAAGAACATATCCCACTTCCCATCCCATTTGATGAAAAACTGAGTATCTTCATAGTATTTCACTCTATGAACATCCCCAGCTGGAGTAAAAAAATAATCCCCAACACTCAAATCATATCTTTCCTCTTTAGTTAAATTCCACACACTTTTTTTCCCTTCCATCACCACCAAACAATGCCCAAAAGTATGGTGATGAGCCGGCTCAACACTCCCGGCCTTGAATCTAACAATAGCCGATGTGGGACTTTCTCTCAAAATCTTCATTGACCCACCAGGGATTATATCGATTGGATTCAATTCTCTATTCTTAACCAAACAACAAATAGCACAAGATTCAGCTTCGGTTTTTTCAGAAGTACCAATTTTGGGCATTTCAGTCATCGATTCATCGAAAAATTTCGAGATTTCCTCCGGCCAAGGCTGAGACCCAGACGCCGGACACGGCGATTTAAAAGGAGTGTTGAGCCACGTATCGACGATTTCCTTAGCGGTATCTTTAGAAGTTGACATGCCGGATAGAGCTAAAACGTTGCAGTTATTGATGGAGCGGTTGTTGCGAGCTTCGTCGGGAGTGAGACACGTGGTGGCGAATACGCCGGGGAATTTGTTGGCGAATATCCCGACTCCGACGCCCGTTCCGCAAGCAAGGAGGCCACGGGTTTGGACATCGGGCGAGGCGGTGGCACAGGAGGAGACCCGCCGGCCGACTTCGGCGCCTACGTTGTAATAGGAGGTGGTACCGAGGTCTTCAACTTCGATGCTGAGGGATCGGAGGTGGGATACCATCACGTCTTTCAGCTCCGCGCCGAAGGAGTCTGCTCCCGCTATGATCTTGAGGGGGCGAGGTGCGGTGGCTGTGGCTGTGGCTGCGGCTCCGGCGGTATCGGCCATGGTGCGGACGTAGGGGAGTAAGCAGCCAGTGAAGTGAGCGCAGGGGGAGATAGAGGAGTTGAAATTAAGTGGCTGTTAAAAGAATAAGGCAATTGAATTTCATATAAAACAAGGAAGTCAATGGCAAAGGCATATTATTACCATCATTTAATTATAATTTATCAAATTGTCACCTTATTTTTTTTATTATAGATTATTATAAACGAATCAAAGATTTAAATTTAAAAATTAATAAAATAAACATAAAATATTTTATTTAAGATATAATTTGAATTCAAAATACTACCGATTCAACTAATTCAAATAAAAAAAATTAATTTAAAATTATCTAAATTAAAGAGAAAATTGGCATCGTATATTCGACTTTATATATGAAACCTTCTTTTCCTTTTACTTCTATTTGTTAGCTAGAAGGAACATGGATAAATTAAACAGGCACTGCCGTTGGAGGGTTTGCATAAGATTAATACAAGTAGGGAGAAAATCCTGAATCACAACATCATCTGCTAGATTGGCACAAAAGCTCCCCCTGTTTTTGCTAACACATCAGTGTCATGCCCATTTCTTCGATTCTATGTTACGCACATTAAACAGGAAGGAGAATTTTAAAATTCTTATAAAAGTGATTGCTGCACAACTTATCAAATTAGATTTTTCATCTTACTCACGCCATCCACTTCCAAAAAGAAGTAGGCAAATTTGCTTCAACGTTTTATACATGGCAAATGTACCTTTCATCCACGAGACAGAAAACAATGCTTTCATTTTGTACATTTTGATCATCCGAACTTAAATAAAAAGAACAAAACAAGGTGTAGGAGAAACTACGAGAAATAGTAGAGAGAACAAAGGCAAGAGTCTGCTGATCATCCCCCTGTGTTGCTCTCATCCCTGTTTACCTCAAGAAACATGTCAAACTTGCCCTTTGATTTGCTAAACAATTTATGTTTTGGGGTGCATTCATTACCAGCAGTAACACCTTTGGGACACACCAAAACTTTGTAGTTTAATCATGCTTAGACAAGGGCGATGTCAATCCCATTAGTTAGACAAAAGGAGAAGAAGAAAGAATACCGAAAAGAGAATAAAGAAAGTTTAGCTATGATTGGCAGGAGCATAGCACTGTGAATCTGTAATGATGATGGTGTTGACATCTTCCATCAACAGCAACAATTGAGTGAACTGTCTATAATCTATATGTATACCTATCTTTGGCTTGTAAAGTAGAGGCAAGAGTCCACACTTTCTGCAGAAAAAAAGGATGGTAGATAATTACTAGTACATTAGCTACTAGCCTAGAAGGATTTTCAGGTTGTGGTATGGGATTTGATGTGATAGTTTATTCGAGAATCCTAGGTGGTGCTGGTGGAGCATGCATGCGCCTCTGCATATTTGCTTTTGCTTTGTGTTGTGCCTGAGTGCCTTTGTGGTTAAGGGGGGTTGGAACTCGATTTTTGCAAGAGTTGGGTTTTTGAAGAACAAAAAAAAGTCTAGGAATAATCCCTCAGTTATAATGATTGTTCAATGTAACTTCAACATAGGATTAAAAAATGTTGCTAAATAATTGACAAAATCATAAAATTATGGAATTTTTAAAACTAAGATTCAAAAATTTTGAAGTTAAAACTTTTCAAAACATATTTTACGAAAATTTAATTTTATATAATATTTTTTTTAGAATAATCAAAATCGAATTTATTTAAAAAAAATCATCAAACAAAAACGAACAACATGAAATAATATTTAGTATTGTGTCAGAGTTTTATTTTTTTGAAAACCTGTTATTATGTGAAAGTTGAAATCGAATAATTGTAATATGCTTGATTGATTTTTTTGTGAAATGATGTAATGTTATGTTATAAAATGATGTTTATTTGGTAGAATGTTAATATCAGATCTGGTGGTTAACACTAGCCAGGATCCACCTTGATGGGCAGTTCTAATGCAAAAGGTTGATTCCATGCCCTATTTTCCTTTCATTTTCTTGTTTAAAACGTATTTAGAATTACTTGCTTGGATGCATTTTCTTTTTTCTTTTTTAAGTCCCAAAAACCTTCATTTTAATTTTATATAACTTGGAAATCAATATGAGGGTTAAGTAATGTAAATGAAATTAACTTCATTTTTCAAGAAAAAAATGCAAAAAGAATATGCAAGAAATTAATAGTTGATAAATGTATGTATAATCAATATTTTGTCGTTCTAATTCGTAAAAGAAAAAAAAATAATTATATATAGTCAACTCGTTATGGAAAAATTAAAGTTATATATAGTTGGAAGAAATGAATTGAATTTACGACATAAAGAATATGTTCATTTATTATTATATTATACATCACAAATCATTGAAAATATGTAATCTTCAAATTCAAACACTTTCTCACATAATTAAAAATCAATCAATTTTCACAATTTAACATAACATTTTGCATTGAAATTAAAATTAGTGTTCAATTCAATCCTTATTCCAAGCATACAACAACAAAGAGAATCCTCCATTGCTCCCATATGACCTAGTAGATGAAGAGCATGAACTTCTCCCACCATCACTGCTCTCCTCCGCCCATTGCAGCACACTTGAGCACGACGGAGACGGTGACAATGTCGTCGATGGCATCTTCGGTGCCGACCCTGCCACCGATGACAAGCTCTTCCTCATCAACCTCTTCTCTGGCCCTACCATTTCAGGCCACACACCACCATCACCAACTTGGAAAATAAACACACCATGACCATTGGTGTTACTATTGTTGTCGCTACTGACCCAATTGAACACATCCCAAAAGAATTCCACTTCAATTCCATTGACATAGATTCTTTCATTCCCTCTAAATTTCCAGGCCAATCTTTTTATAACAAGGCTTGTTTCGCCATCAACTTTTACCTTGAGAACACCACCGCTACATTCTATGCCTATTTCATGTTTGGACCCCAAGAACTTAGCTCTTGAAATGTAACTCCTGCGGCCAAAGACATGTTCCCTCCTGGACAAGAGTGTTGGCTCGGGGAGTACTTGGCGAGCCATGACCAGTCCAGAACGCCTTTTCAATTCTTCCTGGAGATCGCCAAGAAAGAATTCTAGCCTGGCATTGCATGAAATGGCAATGTAGAAGCAAGACTCTGGCTCAGCCGAGTTTTCAGCAAAGTCAGCCCTGGTAAAGTCCCAGTATAGCTTGATTCTTTGGTAATGATGGTGGGTTAAATAGATGGATTTGGAGCCTGGTCGGTTTCTGAAGAAGGAGAAGGTCGACGGGTAGAGGGAAATGGTGATGGAGAAGGAGTCAGCAGCATAGATTGTTAAGGAATGGGAGAAGAGGGTTTTGGACCATGTAAGCGTGAGATATGTGGGAGAGTTGCATAGTTGGGTTTGATAAATGCAGGTGATGAGGTTTTGAGGCAATTGAGAGCTGCTTGATAGTGTGTTAGGGTGGCTGAAGCATGCTGGAATCATGGTTTCTGCTCTTTAGCAAACCATCGAAAGAGAGAAAAAGACAGAGAGAGAAAAATGAGAGAGGAGGTGATCGTGATGAGATGGGAGTGAATATTCAATGTCCCTGGAAGCTTTGTATAAGGGCTTGTTAAGCTGAAGGGTAATCAAGCTCTTTCAAGTTTTGGGAGCAAAGTAAAGCTTTTGAAGAGGTGTGGGGGTGGGGGAATAAGCTTTGAATATTTGAATGATTTAAACGCAAGAGCTTCCATCACCACAATCATCAGGAGCAGTTGTACAGTCCATGGTTGCCCTCCTTGATTTGCGCCTAAGACAGGGCTCTCTTTATATCTCTTTCTCAACCTCTCTCTCTCTCTCATTAGCTGGTTTGCACTGAGTACTACTACGTCTATCCAAGCCAGTCACAATTTAGAGGTGACTTTGATTTTTTTTCCCTTACTTTAAAAGTTTCTAGGCTTTTTTATTATTATACTTTCCTTTCTCTTCTTTTACTTTCTTGCCATCTCAAAGGGGGGAAGAGGTCCAGGAAGAGATCATGGGGCCTTGGGAAAAGGAGGGAGAGAGAGAGAGAGAGAGAGAGAGAGAGAGACTCAACCACTTTTGTAGGGTTTTGATACACGCTTCTTCAGTCATCCAAAGTTGGTTTGAAGTATTTGAACTTTTTGGGAGGAGTCTTCATTTGTTGTTGGATAACCATGGGTGGGAATCATTTGCAATGACAAACTATAGCAGATGTATGAACAATTTCTTCAGTTTAATATAAAGTCTAGCCAACTTTAAATGAAACATGTTTTCAACCCTTGCCATTTGCTTCATTTCTCATTTACTATTATTTAACAATAAAGAAAACAAAAAATAAAAAAGAGAAACCCTTTCTTAATAGTTTGATGGATAGCATAGTAACAACCAACATGTGAGTTGTTGTTCTAGCAAATAATTTAATAAGAAACTCTAGGCTTTGAGTTTCTTCAGCTCTCACTAATATCCAAAAACCCAATATATATTTAATTTTGATGCATTAATTTATTTCCACCATATACTTTCGAAGAACTATAAAACCTAACTCTTTAACATAACAAAAAAAGTTACAAACATCATTAGGAAAGTTTTTGGTACATTTTTCAATTAGCATATGATAATTTTCTTTTTTTATTAATTTCTTTTTTTTTCTAATCTTCTGAGTCATCATAGTCTAATGACTTTTTTTTTTTTCATTTTATACAATTGTTCTCTGTCTGAAACTTTGGCTGGCTTTGATTTGTCTATTCTTTCTTTATAAAAATGGCCCATTGGAGGCATCAACAACCATCATTGTCTTCTGGTATTGTTTATCTCTTTATTGATTAAAGAACAAAAGATTTACCACAGTCAAAAAAAGGATGGTCCCAACCTAAATGTTCAATTTTCCATTTTTACCATATACATTCAAAGCCAGAACATAGGAGCAGTAAATCTATCAGGTTTCAGTCTTTGCCAAATCTGAATGTCAGGCCATGAGTATGGCAAGTGCAAATGCCTTTTTTCTGCAAACTTGGAATTGCTATGCTGTCTTTCCTGTTTCAAATATCATATGTACTCTTATCTTATTACAGACCATCCATCATTACCATACATGTTCAAGATTTTCTGAGATTAATTCTGATAGAAAGGAAAAAAGAAAGGCTGTAAAGCTGTTATTTATAATCATGAGTATGAACGCTTTATTTGATCCATAAACCTCTTAATGTGAGACTAAACATTAAAGAAAACATAATTTATTGCTCAAAAAGTTTAAGTTGTAATCAATCCATCATTGTCATACATATTTATTGAGAAATGGATGTATTAAAATGATTTAAATTCAAAAGCATTCAACAAAGACGTAAAGATTGACATTATGCGTCAATAAGATAAATTTTAATATTTATTACTCGAATGATTTAAATTATTTATTTGGTTAGATTATATATTGATTTCAATCAATAATAGATGTATGGAGTAGGATGAATTTTCAATGAAAAGTGCAATGTACACAACATTTGGAATCAAAGGTATGAACATAATTTAATTGGTAGATAAGTGATCTCTTACCATGACTAATGTACTTTTGTCTTCATTTCTTGAGAAATTAGACATAAAAATATATGTTATGTGGTTGAGCAAGATCTCTTAGGCTTATTGTTCTTGTATCTAGGGATGTCTGCTTGCTGAAATGAATGTGGACAAAAAATCAAAGCAATATATAACAATGATTTGGTGAATGCACTTTCCTTTCCTCCCCATCCCCAAGTTGTTGCTTGAATTGCATGTTGTTCAGCATTCCTCCAGCAAATCCCATTTTTCTAGCCATGCATATATTGAATTGAAACAACCCACAAACCCAAAAAGTAACACCTTTCAGATATAGAAAAAAAGTAAATTTATCAACCCATGAAATTGGGTTAACAAAATCTTCATTATTTGCTGCAACAAATTGCAACTGTGATCATTGGGACAGGTTCTGCCATATAAAGTGGTGCAAAGTATATTATTTAGTTATTGGTAAGTGCCTGAAATCATGTAACAATGCTCAACCAATCAAGAAAGATATATAATTTTCACGAGTTTAAAAGCCATCACTCATCCATAACATTTTGCCTTTACTCTTTTCTCTATATATATATTTTTTAAATTTATAAATTGATCAACATAATTTTGCTCTTTTTTATAAATCTTATTTTATTTTTCGAGATTCGAATTTGAAACTCTAAATTAAAAATAAAATCATTTCAATATCGGATGAATGATGATTACGTATACAACTCCTAAAACATACTCTTTCTCTACTAATTTGTTGTCACAATCCTCTCATCATGTTCCAGCCAATTCATGCTTAACAGCCATCATGAGCAAGCTATCCTGATCAAGAGCGACAATAACCGGCAAATCGCCGATCCCACGAGCCATGGCGAGCATGATCTCCCTCATTAGGGACTCAAACTCGTTGGGATCAATCCTCCCGTCGCGATCCTCATCGAACCTCTCGAAAATCGTACTGTAAAATCGATCGATATTCTCTTCGGTCTTGGATTCCAGTTCCACGGTGAAAATCCTACCTAGGCCTTCTGCGAGCTCGTCACGTGAAATCCCTCCATCTCCATTGGAATCAAGCATCTTGAAGTACTCGTCCACACAATTTCCAAACGCTTCCTTTGCTTCAACGAATCCTGTCACCGTATTGCCATCAAGGACAGCTACACTCATCTTGGATAGTAACAGGTTAACGATACATAATCTCTTTGTCTGTCTATCTATTTACCTATCTGCATGTCTGTCTGTTTATTCATATATTTTTTGAGTTTAATTTTGTTTTACTTTTTGTTCATTTAGTTATATAGCTAGCTTCATCACTAAAATTGGAATTTCCCAATGGTTGACAGGGCTTTAATAGAGGCTTCCTTCTAATTTTAGAATGTGACATGCGGCATCCTCAATGCCCAAAAACTCATGTCAATGTTCTTTGGTTGACCAAATTTCTCGTGTGAAAACGTGTAATTAGTAAATTACTTTTACTTTCAGTACTTAGTAATTACAAAAAAAAAAACTAATCTTGTGATTTTAAAACACTGAATTGGGCAAGATCATCTGATAAATCATTGATAATACGAAGAATATGTACAATAAATTTTCTTAATTTCCATACACGTACACAGGTCTTGTAGATTGGTCCCATTGAGCAAGCCTCATAGTTTGGGCTAAGTACAATATTGGACTTCCCTTCTTCCTAAATTTCGGAGACGCCTTTTTTATATATTGGGCCTATGATATTTAAGTATAGATTTGTATGATGATAAGAAGAATACCCTTAGCCAAATTCCAGTCATCTGATATTTGTGCCTTAATTTTTTTTTTTATTATTGCATATCTTTTCTGAGATACATTGATGTAAGATCTACCTGCTAATGTTATGCCACATGTTGCATACCCTCAAGATTTTAAGTATTTTTATGAATGAAATAAAGAAAAATATATAATTGATTATCCAAGAATGAAAATTGCTCTTTGTAATCATACACTGCATGAAATGCAACGAAATCTTTTGTCCTTTTATTTTCTTCAAGAAAAATCTTATACCCTTCTTTTGGCCTAACCCAAGGAGGCAAGCACAACTCTACAAAAATACAGAAAAATTACTGAATTGATCTCATCTATGTAAGCCCTCACCAATAGTGATTTATGAATTTTGAAAAAGTATAAACACATTTTTTATCATAGATTAGTTAAGTTTATATGATCTATAATTTATATGTTAATTGTCCGGTACGGTCTTAGACCGGCTTAATTAATCTTAGTCAAAGATCACATAGAATTTAAATGGTCTAAATTCAAATACTTCACAATTTAATAAAAGATGATTAGTCATTTTATGAGAAATTTCAAAAGAAAAAAATCCTTTAATAAATGTTACAAGTTGGTCATGTTTATTTAAGAGCTAGTAATAGCCTTTGGATGCTGGTAGTTTGATGGAGACAAACGAGCTTAGAGGTCTGGAAAATTGATTTGAAAAAAGCTTCGGAGGTGGCTAGAAAAGTTGACAGAAGACAAAGCAATTGTGATTCGTTTACATCCATCCTTTTAAATCTTGAAATTCAGTCTTTAGAGAGGCCTAAAGAATGGGAAAAACAAAGAAAGTTTTTATGTATATACACACCATGTGTAATCAATTACAAAGCTTACTCTCAATTTTGATTAATATTAGAAAGTTTGTCAATATTAAAAAATGATTCTCATAAATGAAAATTGAAATAACGCAAGTTTATCGAGAATATCCCAATAATTAAAATTTAAGATTTTCTTTTGAATTTCAAGAGATTTTAAGTTTGAATCTTTAAAAAAGGAATGGAACTGCTATACTTATATGGTGCAAATTAGACAGATTTTCATATTCATGTACTGAAAAGAAAACCCAAAAAAAAAAAGTCATATTAAAATTTTTAAAAAATTTTATTTTTCTTAAAATTAAGTTGATAAAATTTTCATTAATTTTTAAGATGATATGATATCCAAGCAATTAAGAGTATACAATTTTTTGAAAAATTAAAAAGTTTATTTCCAAACAAAAATCAAAGAAAACCTAACATAATAAAAAGCAATTATTAATTTATTAGATTTTGGTAATGTTAGCTAGTGTGTTAAGAAACATGTTTTCGTGTGTTTGGTGAACAAGAAAATTTTTGGTCATAAAACACATGTTATGTTTGGCACGCCTCTTAAATCTCCTTTTCTCATACTTCAAAATCTTGGATTCAATCAAGACCACTCATTTGAGTTTGTAAGGTTTGATTTGATGGAAAATTTGAGAAACAAAAAAAAAAACCCAAAATAATCAAAAATATTTACTAACTTTTTTATAAAAAAAAACTCAAATGAGAAATTATTTAGTACTAAAAAATTCCACATATATCGACATAAAATTTTGTGAATACTCATACTTATTATTGGAAACATTAAGTCAATTACTAATAACTTCAACGTATTATTTAATGACATAATTTTATTAAAATTTTAAATTTAAATTTTTTTTGAGAAGCA